CCTGAAAAGCGAGGGAAAATATTTTCACGGAAGAGTAATTTCAAAGCTTAGCGAACCTAGAAACCAGGGGGTTTAATTATTTATTCACGTGGGGAGCACCCAGACAGGAGAGGCCGAGGAACTGGACACAAAACAGAAGTCTCTGCATCATTTGTTAATGCTTAAATCTGAAAACTGTGACTCTGATTATAACACGTTAAAAAGCCCACATGAGGACAAAGCAGTCACGTGGGCTTTTCTCTCTCTGAACGGATTCCTTTATCTTCAGTTTATTCTTGCCTTCTGCTCTGCCAAATATCAAAAGCTTTGTTTCAACAAGTCATGTAACCTCTGAGAGTTACTTCCCATCACTGCTCTTACCACACACTCTTCTTATACACAGAATTTTTTTGCTAAATCACCTGCTGTATAACTGTGATAGGCGGAATAATGGCGCCCCCAAAGACGTCCACATCCTAATCCGGGAACCTGTGAAGCTGTCCTGTGGCAAGAGGGAATTAAAGGCCGCAGATGGTATTAACGTTGCTAATCAACAGACTTTAAGACAAGGAAATTAACCTGGATTATCCAGGTGAGCCCAATGTAATCACAAGGTCTTATAAGTGAGAGAGGGAGAAAGGAGAATCGGTGTCAGAGTGATTGGGTGTGAGAAAGACGTGCCCAGCCGCGGCTGGCTTTGAAGTTGGAAGCGGGCCCGAACTAGGAAATGCAGGGAGACCTCTAGAAGCTAGAAAAGGTAAAAGAAGCAGATGCTTCACTGGAGCTTCCCTGCTGCCGCTTTGATTTTAGCCCGCTGAGGCCCATACCAGAAAGCAAGGTATTAGATTTGTGTAGTTTCAAGCCTCCAGGTTTCTGCAAATTCTGCTAACAGTGGCGATAGGGAACTTATCCAACAGCTATTTACAAGAGTTGGAGAGGAAAGGGCCTTCATTTTTATTATCTTGCTTAAAAACAGCAGTTTGAACTAAAAAATTCCTAAAACTAAAGGGAACTCTCCCACTGCCTGCCGTGACACCTGGGTGTGGCTGTCACCTGCCCCTCCATGAGCCTTCCTTGAGGTGGCTGCTACCTTTCTCCCAGCTCAGGGGCTACTCCTCGGGTTGGGACTGTGGCCGCAGGAGGGGTGCCGGAGCCCAGGCCGCTGAGAGGCCATTTGGGACGTTCTCAGAAGTTGACTATTTGCTCAACAGCATTTCCACCAGGATAATCATGTGGATAATACCAGGTAATTGCAATGATTCCCTTCTTTGAAGGAACTATTTCAAACCTTTTTCACAGTATAATTTTATTTTACAAGGAAAAAAAAAACAAGCTTGAAGATATTTCTTATCCAAAATAGCCCAGTATCTTGAAACCTACAAAGGACTTTATATGTTGTCAGCTGTTGATTATCAAGGCACTGATTAGCCAATTTGTAGTGCTTTGAAATTAAGAATTTCTGGTGCTTTGGCCTCCATCCAGCTGCCTACCTTTTGCCCGTTGCCTTAGTTCATCGCTATGGCCTGTGGATGGGAGAGGGAAGGAGAGAAGACTTGATCATTGTGTCTGTCACCCTAAATAAGATCTAGTTACATAAGAGTCTGACACTTCCAGTTTTCTTGGAGACAGAAAGAGCTAATCTGGCCAAAAATAGAAGCCAGAACTAATCGTAAGCAACAGAGGGAAATCATACTTTTCAAAAATCAATAGTAAGTTTCCCCTACACTGAAGAGCTTTTTTTAATTATAAAAGTTATTCATGTTTGTTGTAAAAAGAAAACAGAACTATATAGATTATATGTAATTTATGTAATATACAGTACATAAAACCAACAGCTACTTCCATTATTCACTTACTCATCTGTATTTGAAAACAGTTTTGTTTCAGTTGTGCATTTGTTCCCTTCCCTGTTTTTCGCTTCATATTTGCTTCAAAGGCTGTAAAAGCAGCTCTAAAGAGCTGTGTGTGGCCTTAGGGTAGGGAGTTTCACAGACTATTTATTTCTATTCATCATTAGCACAACTGAAACATAAATCACTACCACAAATTTTCCCCTCACCCCTGACCAGGGCTTCTACATGTACTGAAAACGGTTATGTGGGTGTGACTTAGAGAACGATCACATGCAGTAAAGTCATGTTGCCACATTCTCTGCACATTCTGTAACCAGAAACGATTGGACAAGATGTATGTTCTAGGCAAGCTTGTTTTTACATTTAATGCCTGCTTTCTGTAACATGAAATAAATATGCTGTATGTTGAATGCAGTTGGTCCTGAGTGATACAAAACAAGTAAATGCTTTGAGAGCAGTTATCAAAAATGATGCAGGTGGTTCCAAAAGTTACATGGAATTGCACAGATATCCTAAATGCACTTTTGAGTAAATTTCTCAACTACCGGAGGTGGTGCAGCCACTTCAGTCCCCTTTCGGCACAGCGTATGTTTTTATCCATGTATGTCATCCACCATTTCAAGTGATGGAAGAGATCGCTCCCCGTCTTAGTTTCCTCTTGGGGGAAGGGGATGTACAAGCACTAGCTAGCGCTGGGAAGAGCTGGTCGTCTAAATTATGGCAAAAGAAGCATAATTGTGACATTTCAACATGAGCTGGGTAAGTGAATCACCAAAGGAGTCACAGCAAGTTAATAATCAGTGAGGTTGGAGAAAAATGGTACAGATGAATCGGTCTGCAGGGCAGAAATTGAGACACAGATGTAGAGAACAAACGTATGGATACCAAGGGGGGAAAGCAGCGGCAGGCGGGGATGGTGGTGTGATGAATTGGGCGATTGGGATTGACATGTATACACTAATGTGTATAAAATTGATGACTGGGCTTCCCTGGTGGCACAGTGGTTGAGAATCTGCCTGCTAATGCAGGGGACACGCCGCAGAGCAACTAGGCCTGTGAGCCACAAGTACTGAGCCTGTGCGTCTGGATCCTGTGCTCCGCAACAAGAGAGGCCGCGATAGTGAGAGGCCCACGCACCACGATGAAGAGTGGCCCCCACTTGCCACAACTAGAGAAAGCCCTCGCACAGAAACGAAGACCCAACACAGTCAAAAATAAATTAATTAATTTAAAAAAACTGATGACTAATAAGAACCTGCTGTATAAAAAATAAAATAAAATTCAAAAGTTCAAAAAGAAACAATGAATGAACAGAATCTAATTCAAAATATAAGATAATAAAACATTTCAAAAATTTTAAAAAATCAATGAGGTTGGAGATGGAAATTTTATTTGGGGAAGGCTATCAAAATAGGGCCCATAGGAAAGTAAGTCCCTTTAACTAGAAATATGGAATAACAACACTGAAATGGTGTGCATCTGAAAAGTGAATAAAGAGATACTAAGAGCAAGTGAGTCAGAAGCACATGAGTGGTTGAACTCCAGAGACCAGATCAAGCAATGCTGCTTAATACCATCACATGATCTGCCCCGAGGCCCATATTTAATTAAAATAAGGAGTGGAGCACAGCAAAAACCAGAAGAACACTGTTGTTCTTAGCGGATGGAGCCAGAGAAGTTACAAGTTAAACCTTGATTGCCTGAATCTGTGAGAATTCAGCATGCAATGTCTCTACTGTTTCCTGGGATTTCTGCTTTTGGCTGCAAGACTGCCACTTGATGCTGCCAAACGTGAGTAACTGTCAATTTCTGTATTTTTAACCCATTCTCTGGCTGTTGTCTGAAGTGATGGGTTTGTCTGAAGTAACTTTGCCTGAGCCCAAAGTTGGACTTTAGGAAGCATTCACGCTCACTTGTTTCTTCTTCTGAAAACCATTGGGGATGTTGAAAGTATGGCAGAATGCGTTCAGTCCCCATTCTCTGCTACAGGCTCTTGAAGTGAAAGACGTGCAGCCCCTCTGCTGTGGAGCTTTTTTCTATCAAAATTGCCACCCACTCTGTTAGAGACATTGGGAGAGAGTGGGGGTGGTGGTGAAGGGCACAGTCTCTGGCTTGAGAGCACAGCAACGCTACCCACTAAATTTTGTTTCATTGCCATCCAACAGGAAAGAGCCTCAGATGAAATGGGGCCCCAAATCTGGAATCAGACTTTCTAATAATCCCAGCCCAGAAGCTATCGCCAATCCTGCTGAGGGAATTTCCTGGTGGTCCACGCTTTCACTGCCGAGGGCCCAGCTTTGATCCCTGGTCAGGGAACTAAGATCCCACAAGCTGCTTGACCAAAAAATCCTGCTGATAGGTTTTCACAGACCTGCAGGAGTTTGCTGCCACTGTAGTGAGGATACTGAGAAAAGCGCTAAAGCCCTGGGTCTCTTTTCTAGTTAGAGTACAGGCTGGGGACTTTTTAGCAATGCTGATGCCCAGATCAATGAGATCAGAATCTTTGGAGGTGGGCTTGGAGCATCCTTGTTTTAAAATCTCCTCTTGTGATTGGAACGGAAGCCAGAGCTGCGAGCCCCTGAGCTCACCGGAGGCGCACTTGTCCAGTCCAGCGGATGGGCGGCCATGGCAGCCCCTATCCTCCAGTGGAGTGGGAGAAGGAAGTGAATTAGACATCTCCCAGAAGGTCCACTCCACCTCACTCCAGTAGACTGACAACGTTCCCTGGAGGAAAAGTCCCGATTTTGCCAGACGACTCCACGGGAGGGCGGGGTGGGGGGAGGTAGGCGCCGAGAAGGGACCCACCATGTGTGCTCACTGTGCTGGCCGCCTCAAATCAGTCGGCTAGTCCTCACAGCCCGCTTTGTGGAGCACATGGTCCTCCCACTCTTCAACGGGTGAGCAAAGGAGGAGCCCAGGCCCGGCTTTTCACCTGCGGGGCCCAGATCGGAGAGTGGAGGATCCTGGACACACGTGCACGCGTTCCTCTCACTCCTCCCAGCGGGAGAGAAAAGCCCTACAGCGAAGAGGTGCTTGCAGAGTGCGCTGCCCGGCGGCGGCTGAGTGGAGGAGAAAGAGAGCGGCGCGCTGCAGGCTCCTGGAGCGGGGTGGGGGGCGGCGCTGCGCGCGCCGGGAGCTGCGGTGCTGGGGTTCCGGGATGGGGAGCTGGGCTAGGGGGAGGGGAGGCCGGTTGTGCCGCCAGCGCTGAGGCCGGTGACGGGGCAGGAAGAGGAGCCGCGAGCTTGACCCGGGAGCCCAGATGCAGGGGCTGTGCCGGAGCGGGGCCGGGCCGGAGAGCGGCGGCCCGGGCTTTGTCACTCGTCTGGGCCGCACGGGGCCTCGCAACAGCCCGGGGAGGCCGGGCAGGCTGGCGCTGTTCCCCTGTCCCGGGCAAGGGGGAAGGGCCGCACGGCGGCTACGAGGACGAGGAAGGGTTTCGTGGCAGCCGCTGTTCTTCCGGCCAGCCGTGGGGCTGGACCACGAGTGACTGGCCCCTGCACCTAATTCTAGCCTGCTGTCCACCAGCACCCGCTTGCTCTGCTCAGCAAGGCAGATCAGCCTGGGGCTGGCCGGCAGTTGGAGAGGAGGCCCAACCTATTACCACGTAACAAAACCTGCTGTGCCTGGCTTCACCTTGCCTTAAGAAGAAATATCCTGGCCGCAAAAAGTAAGGATGGGTAAAATTTAGTAGTATATAAGACACCAAGGGATTCCTTGCCATTTTCCAGTCACAGCCGTGGTAAAAAGAGGAAGCAGAGGTTATTGACAGAGTAGCTCACAAGTGGCCAAGCCGCCATGTCTCTGCTAGTAGAGCAGGGCATCCGAAGGGTAGAGGGAACAGCCACAGGGGTGCTGGGCGTGACCCCATTTACCTTCGCATCTATTCCCCTCCCCACTTTCTTTTTTGAAGTCTTACTGTTGGGGTTTTTTAATTTTTTATTCTATTTTTTAATTCAGCTTTTTATTTTGAGGTTATTGTAGATTCACATGTACTTTCAAGAAATAATACAAAGAGGTCCCCGCTATGTACCCTTTACAGGGTTTCTCCCAATGGTAACATTTTGCAAAGTTGTAGTACAATGTGGCAATCAAGATATTGACATTGACACGGCCAAAATACAGAACAGCCACATCACCACAAAGATCCAAACCCACTTCCCTTTCCCACTCCATGCAACCCCCAGCCCCTGGCAACCACTAATCCATTCTCTAGTTTTATAATTTTGTAACTTCAAGAATGTTAGAGAAATGGAATCATACAGCATGTAATTTAGGGGAACTGGCTCTTTTTTACTCAACATAATTTATTGAGGTTGTTGTGTGTATCAATAGCTAGTTTTTTATCACTGAGTGGTATACCGGACTACATGGATGTACCACAGTTTATCCATTCGCCCACTGAAAGATTTCTGGGTTGTTGCAGCTTGGGCTGTTATGAGTAAAGCTGCTCTGAACATTAATGTACAGGTTTTTATGTGAACATAAGTTTCCATTTTTCTGGGACAAATGCCCATGAGTACGACTGCTTGGTTGCATAGTAATTGCATGTTTAGTTTCACAAGAAACTGCCAAACTGTTTTCCAGAATGGCGGTACCATTTCCACCAGCAGTGCATGCGTGATTCAGTTTCTCTACATCTTCACCTACATCTGATGTCATTTGTTTTTAATAAATTTATTTATTCTACTTTTGGCTGCATTGGGTCTTCGTTGATGCGTGTGGGCTTTCTCTAGTCGGGGCGAGCAGGGGCTACTCTTCGTTGTGGTGGTCAGGCTTCTCCTTGCGGTGGCTTCTCTTGCTGCAGAGCACAGGCTCTAGGCATGTGAGCTTCAGCAGTTGTGGTGCGGGGGCTCAGTAGTTGTGGCTCATGGGCTTAGTTGCTCTGTGGCATGTGGGATCTTCCCAGACCAGGGCTTGAACCCATGGTCCCTGCATTGGCAGGCAGATTCCTAACCACTGAGCCACCAGGGAAGCCCCTGATGTCAGTATTTTTAATTTTAGTCTTTCTGATAGGTATGCAGTGATATCTCATTGTGGTTTTAATGTGCATTTACTCACTGGCTAATGATATTGAACATCTTTTCATGTGTTACTTTGTCTTCTGTACATCCTCATCTGTGAAATGTCTGGTCAGGTCTTTTACCTGGATTATTTGATTTTTTAACACTGAGTTTTGAAAATCCTTTATATGTTCTAGATATTATTCCTTTTTTGGAAATGTGGTTTGCAAATATTTTTCTCCCTCTTCACATGGTATTTCACAGAGCAAAATTTTTTAATTTTAATGAGGTCCAGTTTATCAGTTTCTCCTGTTATAGATTATGGTTTTGGTGTTAAGTCTAAGAATTCTTGCCTACCTAGAACCTGAAGATTTTTCCTATGTTTTTTACTTTTTTACAGTGCCACGTGTTGAAAGGCTATCTTTTCTCCATTGGATTATATTTGCAAAAATCCGTAGGGCATATCTGTGAGTCTATTTCTGGGTTCTATAGTCTGTTCTATGGGCTTATGTGTCTATTCCTTGTCACTCGCCTTTTAAGTTTGTATTTTTCCTTGATTTTTGACATTTTTTTTTCAGTTTTTTTTTTTAATTTATTTATTTTTTCGCTGTGCTGGGTGTTCGTTGCTGCACACAGGCTTTCTCTAGTGGCGGCGAGCAGGGACTACTCTTCATTGCAGTGCCCGGGCTTCTCATTGTGGTGGCTTCTCTTGTTGCGGAGCACAGGCTCTAGAGCACCCGGGCTTCAGTGGATGCAGCGCATGGGCTCTAGAGCACAGGCTCCGTAGTTGTGGTGCACGGGCTTAGTTGCTCCGCAGCATGTGGTATCTTCCCGGACCAGGGCTGGAACCCGTGTCCCCTGCATTGGCACGTGGATTCTTAACCACTGTGCCACCAGGGAAGCCCAGACGTTTGACATTTAAAATCAGAGGAGAAATCTGTGTTGGATTATGTTTCTGGAAACATTGACATTCACTCAGGATCTGAGGAAGAGGAATACTTCGGAAGAGTAGAAAAAACTGATCCTGGGACTCAAAGATGCCAATCTTCATTTCTACTTGATTACAGATGACTCTGAGTGAATCGTATCACTTCTCTAGGCCTGAATTTCTTTTTTCTTTTTTTTTTTTGCGGTACGCAGGCCTCTCGCTGTTGTGGCCTCTCCCGCTGCGGAGCACAGGCTCCGGATGCACAGGCTCAGCAGCCATGGCTCACGGGCCCAGCCGCTCCGCGGCATGTGGGATCTTCCCAGACCGGGGCACGAACCCGTGTGCCCTGCATCCGCAGGCAGACTCTCAACCACTGCACCACCAGGGAAGCCCTAGGCCTAAATTTCTTCGTCTATAAATGAAAGGATTTGAACGAACTACTCTTAGTTCTTTCTATATAGAACATTCTACCATTCCATGACTCAACATTCAACTGAATTTCCAGTTATAATAAACATTTATTGATAAACATAAATTTCCTGCCCTCACTTTGTTCCTTTTTGGAAACAGATACTGTTTCACAATATCACAGGACATGTGATTTTTTGCCTGATGTGAAGGCCCAGAGAAGAAACGTGGCCTGAAATCCCACAGCCTGTTTCGTAGTGGGTTCTGTAACTTCCAGCTCAATGTTCTTTCCCACTCCATCTGCCTCCATTATAAGAAGGGAATTACATGTTTCCCCTTCCTCCTACCAACAAAGAGGAATAGAAGGCAGAGGCTAGTGGCGTCCATTCAGTATGGTTTCTCAGTACCTTCTAAATACCACCCCTCATAGGAGGCCTCTTTCAGGATGTAAGAGAAAAGGCAGTGTTCCTGGCTCTGAGTCCATAGCCAGACCAAGACACAAGACCATATGACTAGATGAGACAACAGTTTATAGCAGTGTGTGATTAGGGGCTGACAAGGGTTATAGACAGTGGAGCTTTTGCCTGTGAGTAACAGATACTCAAATAGGTTGAGTAAGACATTTATTGTCTCAATCCACCCAGAGGTAGACAAGGCTGGAGGAAGAGCTCAACAACATTGTCAAGGACTCTTTCTTTACATCCATCTATTCTGACACCCTTGGTGTGCTGGCCCTTCCTCAGATTTTTTCCCTCATGGTTAAATATGGCTGTCACAGTCCAGGCATCACATCATTATACTACTGTCTCCAAAATCAATTCTCAGGAGGAAAAAATGGAGTTTTTTCCACTTTTTTTTTTAATGATAGAGAAAAATGTTTCCCAGAAGCCTCCAGCAGACTTACACTCAGCTCCTGTCAGCCAGGATCTAGTCATCAGTTCCTGCCCAAACTGTAAGGAAAGCTAGGAAAGTGATCCTCTAGAATTTTGAATCATTATGGTAAAAACTCTGCAACAAGAGAAAGAGGACAGGTGCAGGCAGGAACTGTCTGCTACAGTCCTCAAAGAAAGGACAGACAATGTGACCACCAGGCTTATCAGGAAAGGCAAAAAGACAGACATCAAGATTGGAAAGAAGTTTAAAAGAATTGGAATACTATAAACCCTGGAGCAACCACTGAAAACAAAGAGGTATAGCTAATAAGCCAATAATGCAGATAAAATGAAATCCAAAAATAATCCCAATAAGTATAAGAAAAGAAGAAAAAAGGAATAAAGAACAGAATGGATAAATAGAGAACATACAATAGACAAATCCCACAATACTGATAATTACATTAAATGTAAGTTACCTAAACACTCCAAATAAAGGGTAAAAATTATTAGACTGGTTTTTTTAAAAAAACAATATGCTGTCTACAAAAAACCCACTTCAAATATAAAAATATTTATAGGTTAAAAGTAAAAGGATGGGGACTTCCCTGGTGGCACAGTGGTTAAGAACCCTCCTGCCAGTGGAGGGTACACAGGTTTGATCCCTGGTCTAGGAAGATTCCACATACTACAGAGGAACTAAGCCGGTGCACCACAACTGCTGAGCCTGTGCTCTAGAGCTCATGAGCCACAACTACTGAGCCCGTGTGCCACAACTACTGAAGCCCACGTGCCTAGGGCCCGTGCTTCGCAGCAAGAGAAGCCACCACAGTGAGAAGCCTGTGCACCACAATGAAGAGTAGCCCCCACTCGCCACAACTAGAGAAAGCCCGCGTGCAGCAATGAAGACCCAAGACAGCCAAAAATAAATATTAATTAATTAATTAAAATTTTTTTAAATATGCAAAAAAACGTAAGAGGATGGAAAAAGATGTACCGGTTAAACACTAAGCACTAATATCAAAGTATTCTTCAGAGCAAGGAATATTACCAAAGGAAAAAAAAGTCAATTCCTAATGTTAAAAGGGTCAATTCATCAAGAAGACTTAACAATTTAAAATAGAGCTTCAAAATACATAAAGCAGATAATGCAAACTGAAAGACAAAGTTGGCAAATTGGCACATCCATAATTACAGTTGAAGATTTCAACATTCCTCTTTCAGTAACGAAATAACAAGCCCACAGAAAATCAACAGGAACAGAGAAGTTGCCAAAGACAATACCAACTAGCTTGACATAAGTGACATTAAAAAAACACAATACTACACAACTGTATATGGAACGTTCACCAAGACAGACCATGTGCTGGGCCATAAAAACATTTGTTCAGCAGTGGGCCCTCCAGGACTGGTACACGTCTCCTGGAACCTTGGAGGCATTCCTCAGCCTGGCACTCCTTAAGCCAAGTAAACCGTTCAGAATGGAAAAAGATGAAAAACTGCTCTGAAGATCATTGGCATCAGTGTCTTTCCTAATGATAGTGTATCAAATCCAAATATTCAGAAGACATGTTTTGAGAAACCAAATGATGTCTAAGAAATACTGACATTCAAAACTTTTCCTTGATTCACTTAAAGTGCGTAAAGAGATAGGGTCTAGGGTCTGAGTACTTGTATTCAAGGTATTTCCAGTACACATTTTTTTTAAAAGCACTTTCTATCTGTTTCACGTATTGGAAATATTATGTATGTGCTTTCCAATCTTATGAAGTGAAAAGTTGCTTTAACCATTGTTAGATAATACTAAATGAGAGATGAGGTAGACAAAATAATTTTTTTTCAAATATTGTTATAGGCGTTCATGACGTGCTGAGCAATGAAAGACCTTCTGGTTATATGCGGGAGCACAGGCAATTAAATGGCTGGTCATCAGATGAAAATGACTGGAATGAAAAACTCTATCCAGTGTGGAAGAGGGGAGACTCGAGGTGGAAAAACTCTTGGAAAGGTAAATCAAAAGACTCAACCAAAACAACTGTAATTTCTTTTTTTTAAATTTCAAGTGTACAACATAGTGATTCAATTTTTTTAACTGAAGTATAGTTAATTTACAACGTGTGAATTTCTGCTTACAGCCAAGTGATTCCGATATATATATATATTTATATGTTCATATATATATATATGAAGACACACATTCTTTTTTTTAATATTCTTTTCCATTATGGTTTATCTCAGGATATTGAATATAGTTCTATAGTTCCCTGTGCTATACAGTAGGACCTTGTGGTTTATCCATTCTATATGTAACAGTTTGCATCTGCCAACCCCAAACTCCCAGTCCCTCCCTCCCCAACCTCTCCCCCCCCTTGGCAGTAACAAGTCCGTTCTCTATGTCTGTGAGTCTCTTTCTGTTTTGTAGATAGGTTCGTGTCATATTTTAAATTCCACACATAAGTGCTATCGTATGGTATTTGTCTTTCTCTTTCTGACTTCACTTAGTATGATAAACTCTAGGTCCATCCATGTTGCTGCAAATGGCATTATTTCATTCTTTTCTATGGCTGAGTAGTAGAGTCTATTGTATGTATGCACCACATCTTTATCCATGCATCTGTTGATGGACATTTAGGTTGTTCCATGTGTTGGCTACTGTGAACAGTGCTGCTGTGAACATAGGGGTTCATGTATCTTTTTGAATTATAATTTTGTCTGGCTATAGTCCCAGGAGTGGGATTGCTGGGTCATGTGGTAATTCTATTTTTAGTTTTTTGAGGAACTTCTGTACTGTTTTCCATAGTAACTGTACCAATTTACATTCCCACTAACAGTGTAAGAGGGCTCCCTTTCCTCCACACCCTCTCCAACATTTATTTTTTCTGGACTTTTTGTTGATGGCCATTCTGACTGGTGTGAGTTGATATCTCATTGTAGTTTTGATTTGCATTTCTCTAATAATTAGCAATATTGAGCATCTTTTCATGTTCCTATTGGCCATCTGTATGTCTTCTTTGGAGAAATGTCTAGTTAGGTCTTCTGCCCATTTTCCGATTGGGTTGTTTGATTTTTGTTGTTGAGTTGTATGAGCTGTTTGTATATTCTGGAAATTAATCCTTTGTCAGTCACATTGTTTGCAAATATTTTCTCCCATTCCGCAGGCTGTCTTCTAATTTTGTTTATGGTTTCCTTTGCTGTGCAAAAGCTTGTAAGTTTGATTAGGTTGCATTTGCCAAACAGCTGTAATTTCTTATTTCAGTTAGCCTTGTAGATTGCAGACTCTGAGATCACAGGGCTCATGGTGCTTCCATGAATGACAGTACTCTAGTTACCAAGTGGGAGGCACCTGGATTTGGCAATCTTTCCTTTATCTCAACAATATCACTTTCTAAACTCTCCCCCACCACAGGCACAGTAAAATCGCCTTAGAAATTTACAATTGGTGCCTCTTGGAAGATTTTGAAGAGCAAGCAGGTGTGGCCTCTAACTTAAGTAACTGATGTGGGAATGGTCATCTTCAGAAGTTCTGAGACTCCAGGGCACTTTGACAATTTCAAAAGTGTGGTTTCTCAGCAAGTTAATACCTTTCTGTTATATCAAAAGCCAATGAATCCTTCAGTCATTGGTCTTGAAATTGAAAATTGCGAACTTTTAATACCTGTCTCCTCAATCCAATTAAATAGATTTTTAATTATTTTAAGGAAATGTTCTTTCTGTGGTTAGAGAATTCTTCAATTGGTCTGACTTTTTAAGTTTGTCTTCTGGAATGTTGTACTCTGACAGCAAAAGTGAAGAATCCTGCAATTAGTTTGTAAAGAGGCATAAGGATCCTCTGGTTCTTATTTGTAGATTTAACTTTGCTTTTTTTTGTTTATCAGTGAAAGGGAAAAGAAGTGTTTCATTGAGCTCCACTTTTCTATGCCCTAGGAGGCCGTGTGCAGGCAATTCTGACCAGTGATGCACCAGCACTGGTTGGCTCAACTATAACATTCGCGGTGAACCTGGTATTCCCCAGATGCCAACAGGAAGACGCCAGTGGCAACATAGTCTATGAGAAGAACTTCAGAAATGGTAAGGAATGTTAGTCACATTACAGGAACATGCTAGTTCTCCTAACTACTGGAGACCCTCCTCATAAACCTTAGTGCTCACAGGTACTTCTATAAATGCAAGATGCTGCAGTTGTCCCTTGTCACCCCCTCCTCAAGTTGGATGACAGGGAATGTGAATATGTCCCTCCATCAACCTCAGCAAAATCCATTTCGGCCACCTGGTGTCTCTCCACTACTTGGAACTCTCCTCAAATCTACATTGTGAGGCTTGGCCTTTTTTTTTTTTTTTTTTGGTGCCCTTTGCTGCATGTGGGATCTTAGTTCCCTGACCAGGCATCGAACCCATGCCACCCTGCATTGGGAGCTCGGAGTCTTAACCACTGGACCGCCAGGGAAGTCCCTAGGCTTGGCCTTTTCTTAGTGCCCAGTTTTGGCCTTTTTTTTTTTTTTTTTGGCTGCCCTTTGCTGCATGTGGGATCTTAGTTCCCTGACCAGGCATCGAACCCATGCCACCCTGCATTGGGAGCTCGGAGTCTTAACCACTGGACCGCCAGGGAAGTCCCTAGGCTTGGCCTTTTCTTAGTGCCCAGTTGATTGGACAGAGAATACGTTGTTGATTCTCAGATTTTGGTTTTATTACTTGGACTTCTCTGGCTACTCAAAGCATAGTCAATCTGTCAGATCTTTGTTAATCAGGTAGCTTTCTGCTCACAAGAATTCCTTAAACTGTGTGCCTAGCACAAATGCTAAGATGTGTCTATTTTGGTTTTGCTTTGCTCTTAGTTAAAGCAGATAAGCTCTTTGCCCATGTTAAAGAGCACAAATGATTACAAATACATCAAGGGGGATTATCTTGTTAGAACTGTAGAGCCTTAAAAACTCAGGTAATTACTGAGATTCCTCAGTCAGTAACAAGGCTAATAAGTGCAGTTATGATCTCATTTTATTACTTAGAACTTCTGTGAAACAGTTGATGTGTTTATTTCTTATTAATTCATCATCTTCCTATGAAGAAAACAATGAATTCTGTGTAGAAAGAGTTTGATAATTAAAAAGTGTTGTTTATAATCATCTGTAGCATTTTTCTTTCCTTCTAAAAAAGTTAATTCTTATGAATGTTTCAAATGACAATCTAACCCTCTGAGCACTTTTATATGAAAGAGTCCTTGTGACTTATGAAAAGTTATATAAAGTATATATCACCACTAGAAGAAACTAGAATTTTTGAAGAAATGACTAATTCCAGGTGTAGGACAGGGAAAGTACCACATGAACCAGGGACATCTTGTTGTCCCAGAAAACAAAGGAGTAATGGGGACACGTCACAGGGACACGGAAGGCAGCTTGAGGGGCTCCTACTGGCCATATTTGGAACAATTTAAGAATAAAAAAAATAATGGCTGTAGTAGATTGATAAATAAAAAGGCTCTTCATAAATGTCAGTGACATAAAAAAAACAAGAGGGTGGGGGGATTGTTCTAGATGAAAAGATATTGATCATGACTTGTTTAAAATGGAAAACTGATGTTTTCCGAAACATACAGAAAAGTAGATAGCAGGTACTTCGAGATTCAACAAATTTAACATTTTTTCCTGTTTCTATCTATCTATCTACCTATCTATGTATCTGTCATCTATCTACATTTCTAGGCCTATTTCTTTTTTTTTTCTGAATCATTTGAAGAAACAAAATAGCCAAATGAATGATGTGACCCTTGACTGTGGTAGGCGTGGCGATGACGTGGTTATGTAAGAGAATGTCCTTATTCTTTGGAGATGTGTGCTGAAGTCTTTAGGAGAGGAGTCATGATGTCAAATGAATCAGGGAAAAACAGCTACAGATAGAGAGAGTGTATCAAAGTAAAAAGATACAGCATCCCTCAGTTTGGTTTGAATACGCTTGTGATTTGGAGACCCGATATGAAGATAAACATATTAAGTGATAGCTCTAAATTTCCTGAAAAATTGCTTTATATAAAACTCATTGAAATATAACATGTAGGCAGAAAAATGCACAGGTCGTAAAGGTACCATTAGATGAATGCTGAATATTAGGGTTTTAGTTGTCCAACCATATTTAAATGAGTTATGAAAAAATATGAAAATGTGTTTAATTCAATGAAGAGCATTGAGTATTCTGAGTCAATCATGGCGTGTTCCTTTCTCTCTTTAGATACTGGTCCATCTCCTGACCCATATGTTTACAACTGGACACCATGGACAGAGGACAGTGGCTGGGGAAATGGCACCAGACAGGGCCATCACGGGAAGCCTTTCCCTCACCCCCGAAAATGGAATTTCGTCTATGTGTTCCACACACTTGGTTGGACTTTTACAAACCCCCTTAGCTTCTTCTTTACCTTTCCTTCAAATTTTAAATTTTTTCTCTTTCCGTATTCTATAATTGAGAATTACAACACGGGGAGTTGAACAACAGTTACTCTTTTAACTCTCCTTAGCTGGAGTGGAGGGTGAGGGATGAAAATTAAATCTTGGTTAGCCTTGCCATATCTCCAGGACATCAAATAATTAAAACGAGAAAAAGACAGGTTCAGCTTTCTTTTTTTTTTTTTAAGACAAAGCTACTCAATTTTTTTCCGTCTAAAACAGTAATATGAAAAATAATATTTATTTATTTGCATCGCACACGGATGGGCGTTTGCTGATTTATTTAATTTTTTTATGTTTTTAAAAGAACTTTCAGAATTTAACTTATGCTGTTTGTAGGAAATTTGGAAAATGCAGAAAAACACAAATGAAAACTCAGTCACCATAATTCATACCAGAGATTATCATTGTTAACATGATGGTGTTTACTAGTATTTCTTTCTTTCTTTTTTCTTAGTATTTCTTGATTAAGATCATAAAATATATACATTTTGATCAATATCATGAGCATTGACTAAAATTCTAGCGTGGCTTGTGGGATCTTAGTTCCTTGACCAGGTATCAAACCCAGGCCCCGGCAGTGAAAGCACCGAGTCCTAACCACTGGACCGCATGAGAGTTCTCTAAACTTTTTTATATACATTATTTTACTGACCGCATAATATTCTATTGAGTAAAAGTAAAATAATCTAACTACTCTTCTTTGACATAGCCTGCCCTCTTTTTTTTTCTTTAACCACAAATGTTATCCACTTTGCTTTACTATTAGTGAAGTGATTTTTTTTTTAAGGAGGACTCAATTTAGGTTATTAGCAAAGCTGCTAAATTCTTAGTTAAAAATCTTACCAGGTGCCACCTGGCTCTGAGTATTGCAAATCTGCTACCGGTCATGCAGACTCAAAATTTCTAAATGTTTGGTCTGTCTTCATGAATTACAGATGGCTTCTCTTTCTTCAGTTAACTTGCTTATAAATCAAAATAACATATTAATAATACATGGTCCAATTGAACAGAGTGCAAAATATATAACAAATACTATGCTCGTCTATTTAAATAAGCTGATTTAAAGCTGACTTTTTTCAGTCCCTTCATGGCCCTGTCAGTTAATTCCCCAAGTGTCATGATTTCTTTGACCTGACAGTTTGCATGGAGTCACTTAGGCTCACTAACACTCCAGATTCTGTTTAGCCTAGTTAACAACCATTAACTTAACTAGTTAAGATGTCTTTATTTAACATCAGTTTCCAGCCCAGAAACCGCTGTTTTCCTAACAAGACGGTTTTGAATTTCCATTGCTGAGGTCTCAGAGTTAACTAATATTTTTCCTCAGCTAAGCGCTGCCTCTGTGGTCAGTGCCAGAACTAACATTTCCTCACGTATCACTAATTCCAAGAGACACCTCTTCCCCCTATAACCTCTAACAGAACTGCCTCTTCATTTCAAGGTAAAGGGGGATCGCAAGCCTTTCCTGACACTTTTTTTTTCTATTTTTGGGGCTGCAACTCGCGGCGTGTGGGATCGTAGTTCCCCGACCAGGGATCGAACCTGTGGCCCCTGCAGTGGAAGCACAGAATCTTAACCACTGGACCACCAGGAAAGTCGTCCCTTTCCTGACACCTTTGACCATGTGATGAACATGGTCTTTAAACATCTCCATCTTACAAGCATCCATCTTACAGTACTTGTTGTTTCAATGACACATCTGTGCCAGGTGCCTCAGAAGGATTAGAAAAATCCTTGAGCCCTGAAGGAGAGGAATTACTTTCACTAGCTAGCCAGTGGCAGTTAGATTTAGGTTAGACTTGGAGAAAGAAAAAGAAGGATTCAAGGGCCTTAGAAATGTTAATGGAACTACTCGGTTCCTTTTTATACCCACAATACCCTGTTTCTTTTTTATCACTTACTGCATTTTTATAAACAAATACTACTAGAAGGTGGAGGATTCTAGTTCCCTAAAAGAAAAAAGTTACTTAGCAATATAGCTGAACTACTAATATTGTTACAAAAATAAGGTAGATTTTTGGATATATTTTTAACTCCCTTGGACACAAACATCAAATGTACTTTCTGTGGGAAACATATGTATTTCAAGTGCCAGATCACTTCCTTATAAAAATTATTTATTTGTAAACTAAGGACTAATGGCATCCCACTAAACAGCTCTTTTCATTTTAATCAACTATATACAATTACATTTATGTTTGTGAGATTGTTTTATAAGGTTTTATATAAAAATGAGCACCGCCTTCTTTTCTGAAGGAGCCAGGACTGCATCCCCATCCTGTTTTCCCTTTCCCCAAACTCTCTCTAAATGGCAGTTGTTATGCTTTAAGAAACATTAACTTTCTATAATGATCATATAATGTAGCCGATAACTAAACATTTCCATCCTCTCAAAGGTCAGCATTTCCAGAAATTGGGACAGTGTTCAGTGAGAGTTTCTATAAACACAGCCAATGTGACTCTTGGCCCTCAAATCATGGAAGTAACTGTCTATAGAAGATACCGACGCGCATACGTTCCCATAGCAAAAGTGAAAGATGTGTATGTGGTAACAGGTGAGTGGAATGAACTCTAAATTAACTGAGCGTGAGGCACTTAGTTCTGATGATGTTAGTGGGTTAGAAAGAATTAGAGCCAAGTATTCTGGGTTAAGTTAGATGTCATCTGGACTCCTTCTCAACCTTATATATTTAATAACACGTTCCATCTATGTTTTCCAGAATAACTGGGAAAACTCTAGCAAACTTGTATAAGAAAAGGGAAAGTGATGCTGAATTAGCCCTAATTTTAATTTCTAATGTTTTTAGTTTAAAAACATTAAAGTCATCCACTTAAAGTCAAGCAATGGTGACTTTCTTTCTTTCTTTCTTTTTGGGTGGGGGGCATATATCTTTTAGATCAGATTCCTGTATTTGTGACAATGTCCCAGAAGAACAATCGAAATTCATCTGATGAAACCTTCCTCAAGGACCTCCCCATTACGTTCGATGTCCTGATTCATGATCCCAGCCACTTCCTCAGTGAGTCTGCCATTTACTACAAGTGGAACTTTGGGGATAATACTGGTCTGTTTGTTTCCAACAATCACACTTTGAACCACACCTATGTTCTCAATGGAACCTTCAGCCTCAACCTCACTGTGCAAGCTACAGTGCCTGGACCTTGTCCTTCACCTTCACCCAGACCTCCAAACACCACCGCTTCTTTGGGTAAGTGTTTTCCAGGTCTTTTTTGTTGTCAGGGTTCCTTAACAGCTAGAAAAAAAATTCGTGTGGGTTGTATAATTAGATCCTTTGTTAAAGAGACTGTGTAAAGACTCTGCAATGATTCCATTTTCTACCTGTTGATTTCCTTTAGCTACTTTATCACCATTTTTAGTTGTTAGAGTTTGGAAGAAAGGAGAACGTGTTTAAAGTCACTTGGTGACTCGTATACAGCTCCTTGACCTTCCTAATTCTCACTGGCCCTTGTTATGCGTACGGATGCTTTCCCCCTTCTAGCCTGTCACATTTCTGTTTGCCTCCCTTTTCTTTTAGTTAAGAAACCCCTTGTGAACATTCAGGCCATCCCACTGTCCTTCCTCCCCCTCCCACATTTCCTTCCCACGTCCATTCTCCTCCCCACCGTGCCCACATCCACCCCATGTCCCATGAAAACTCAGCCACCCTTAAACGTAGCTTACAGATAGGCTCAGAAGAGAATGCGCCTTGAGAATATTTCTTGGCTGGCAGGCTGGAAAGATTCCAGACACTAAAATTATTCTAGATACAAGGCATAATTACTTAAATCCCACCTTCTAATAATAGTATATGAGGTCATTCAAGAAGTTCTTCAGAGTTTACTTTGTGAAGCATTAGCTTCCATCTGATTCTACACCCTACCCCACACCATTACCATCCTTCCCCACTAAGCCAGGAGTACGTCTTACCATCCCGGCATCCCGGGGATGGTAATAGACTCACATCCTCTCACTGGACACTAGAGGGCACCATCACCAAGTCGGGACAGAGCACTCGACGATGATGTCCAGGCTTGTTGCAATTGGTTTTGTTACCCAAACCTGTTAGATATAAATAATAAACTGTTATTAATAAGTGTGTTATTAATAAAAATATCTTGCTAAGTCAAGCATATCTAAAGCAAGACATTATAAGTTATTACCGATTTTGATTAATTCTTTCTTGGAATGTTTTAAATTATAAAATTAATGCATGTCCCTTAATAAAAATTCAAATACAGAAATTTCAAATAAAAGTGAAAGTTCCTCTTCATGCTCTCGTCTCGAGAGTTAAACCCTGTTAAGGGTTGGTAGTGTCTCTTTCTGGATCTTTTTCTGTATATTTACAAACATATTCTATAAATGCATATAGGATTTGTGGTTTTGATTTTTAGGTAGATGGGTTCATGAAATACGTATTCTACATTTTGCCTTTTTTCATTTAACAAACATCATAGACATCTTCCCATTATCAGTACATTTAAGTCTGGCTCACTTTGTTCAGTGGCTTATTTATTTAACCATTCTCTTACTGGTGGATGATTCAGTTAAACCTAATTCCAGTTGTAAATATGACTGCCTTGAACAACTCGAAACATATAGCTTCGTTCTGGTATTTCTATAGGAGACTCATTTATTTATCTATAAGAATCGGTCTTCCTTCCAAATAAGCAGACCAGGTGTAAAATTCAAAATAAATTACAGGTGCTTGTTACATCTGTCTAGAAATTCCTCAATGGTAAAAGTCTTAATGTTAGGTTAGTTAATGTTAGTCTATCTTGAATTGCATTTTTATAAAGCTAGATTATTTTTCTTAGAACATATTTGTATCGTAACATGCAAAAAATATATATTTTAAGTCAATGAAAGAGTATTTTAAATTTGTCATTATTTTCTATAGCTTTGACCATAAGATATAAGGTAGCAATTTGTTAAATTTGTTGAATCTGTTAAATTTCATGGCGAAAGGAAACTGCCTGGCTTTATCTAAAGGTGTTAGATCAACCGTAATCAACCCCAAAATGCCTTAGAGCAGCTGTGAGACTTAGGGAATGGAGGGATGGGAATACGTAATGGGACCCAAGGTGATGATAGGAGTCAGCCCATGACTTGGGAAAGGGCTTGGAGTACTTGTCCTCTGGAAGAGAGAACATTTTCAGCTATGCAGAGCATACTAACAGGCTTGGATTATTGAGCACTGGATCATAATTTGACCAAAAATTATGTTGTCTCTGCTATAGTAAGGGGCTTCAAAATAAGTGCAGCTATTAAATAGAAACCAAATGTAACCAAAGGAGTGAGACAGAAGCAGAGCTGAAGTGGTGATTCAGGAAGATAATTACATTGCAGGGCAGACAGGTATGCACTAGTTTTAAGCCACACAATTCTCCCCCCTTAGGTAACCGTGCCACTGATCATTTCTGTGTACAAATCTAAAAAGAAAAACCTCTGTAAGACTGGTGCTGATCAGTGTAATATTATATATAATATGTATATATCATATCATGTAGAACTTTTCAAGTTTCCCAAAGAATCAAAGGATCTCACACCATTCTCTGCGTAACAGGGACATAAATAGTGAATTAAGTAGGACGCTTACCTTCTTCCCCATCTGTCTTTTAAGGTGTTAGTTTTTCTCCATTAGCCCTTTAATCATACCTTGACTTTATAGGTATAGATATAGATTTGACATTGTACATACCTCTGCAAAACTCCACATGCCTTTTTAGAAGCATTCTACCAAAGATAAAATCATGGACATTTATTAGTCATTTTTTATGAGAAGTTTTATTTTAAAAGATGGCAGGGTCATGATTCCACGCTCTACCTTGACAGCTAAAATTCACCTGTCAAGACCTTCAAAAGGAGATTTCTAGGGAAGAGCCAGCCATCTTTAATACCCTTCACAAACATATCCTTTGCTTCGGAGCCCATCAGTTAAATCTCAGAATAGGAAGAATGATTACCCTGTAACTTCCACAGGACCACCGTGAAACTCAGGGGACACAGCCAACCCTGCCATAGCCAAGCCTGCTGATAAGCCACTGCATCTGAATCTGGCATGGCATCAGAACCTTTCTGGGTTTTACCCAAACAACATTTCCCAAAGTGTGTGCCATGAAGCGCTAGTTTCCAGAGATGCTCTGAGAACTGCTCTGTGAAGGTCCCTCTGAGCAAAGGAGCATCACAGGCACATTCATTCACCCACTAGAGGCTCTGATGAGCCCTGGAGAAGTCTCCCAATTGGCTTCATACTTACATATCCCTATGTCAGAGATGCAGCTCTTATGAAGCTTTGATTCCCCCCAAACTGGGTCCATTTTCATGCCTTTGGAAATTTGAGACAGTAATGTTGTATTTTCAGTATTATATTTTCTTTCCAGTCTTTTTATCTTGTTAATGGAACACCAACACCTTAATTAGAGCTTTTTAAATTTTAACTAATAGAGCATTAAATTCTTTGCTCTAATCACACTCAAAGGTTATTTTTCAACAGCATCTTGTATTCACTCCTTTCCTTCCCCACACCTCTGCTCATCATAGTGACTGTATGACTTCTGGAATGTAAACCTAGGATCTATGAGACACTCAAACAGGGAAAGAATTGCCTTTTTCCATGTTGTCTCCTTCTTATCATTTAAAATTATCCACGTTATGGGCTTCCCTGGTGGCGCAGTGCTTGAGAGTCCGCCTGCCGATGCAGGAGACGCGGGTTCGTGCCCCGTTTCGGGAAGATCCCACATGCCGCGGAGCGGCTGGGCCCGTGAGCCATGGCCACTGAGCCTGCGCGTCCGGAGCCTGTGCTCCGCAAATGGGAGAGGCCACGACAGTGAGAGGCCCGCATAACGCAAGAAAAAAAATAAAAATAAAAAAAAAATAAAATAAAATTATCCACGTTAACATTTAAAATTACATATCTTATTACATATATATATATGTTATAGCACATCTGTATCTACATAGATGTATAGAAGTACATATTGGGATAAGGAAACAAGTATTTATTAAGTACTTCCTATGTGGCAGACATGAGAAGCAAGTTTTATATACCTTATTTTATTTAAGTTTTATAGTTCAACTCTAGTAGGTCAGTAAGTATTGTCCCTATTTTACAGATGAGCAAATTGAGGAAAGAGAGGTTAAATGACATGCCCATGGTCTCAAACAGCTAAAAACAAGGGGCCTAGAATTTGAGCCCAGAATACCTTCCTCAAAAATTACAATATAATTTTATCTGTTGTGGTCTGCTTTATTTCATCATGATTGTTATACTACACATTTTAATATGGCTTCCACCTTTCATATGATATTTGTGCTTGAACAAGATATGGGATTGTGTTTACTTAAAAAATTTAACAATTTTATAATGCCTTATAGCTCTCACATCTATATGAATTGTGCACATTTAGTTCAAATTTCTGCAGCAATTTAATAGTATGGAACTCTTTTTTTTTTTTTTTCTGTACGCGGGCCTCTCACTGTTGTGGCCTCTCCCGATGCGGAGCACAGGCTCCGGACGTGCAGGCTCAGCGGCCATGGCTCACGGGCCCAGTCGCTCCGCGGCATGTGGGATCTTCCCGGACCGGGGCACGAACCCGCGTCCCCTGCATCGGCAGGCGGGCTCTCAACCACTGCGCCACCAGGGAAGCCCTAGTATGGAACTCTTGATGTTTTTATAAAGAGCAAGTAGACAAATGTTTAGATCTTTGGTAATATCATGTACATCTTTTACATTCTCAGAAAGTACCCTAAAATCTTGTTATTCAGACTCTCCTGTACCTGCTGGTGACAATGCCCTGGAGCCGAGGGAGATTCCTGATAAAAACTGCCATATTAACAGATACGGCTACTTTAAAGCCACCATCACAATTGTAGGTAAGACCGTGGAGGAAAGATGTTAGAGTCCACCTTGGGTCACCCACTCCCTTACCTGCCTCTGGAGGGGTGAGGATGGAGAGAGCAAGGGCACCCACTCTCTGTCCAAGGTGGTACCACATGTGCACAAGCAAAGGCTCCACTAGTTGCTAGATCTCCACCTGCCTTCCCGGCCTTCCTTAGACATCCTTGTGGAAATGAGCCCTCTGTGAGGCCCACAGAGCAATGAGCCTGCCAGGGGGCCTGGACCTCTGACCCTGTGCAGCTCAGAAACCTGAATGAATGTGGCCTGAAGGAAGGCCAGTTGCAAATTCTCACAGCTCCCGCTTTCCTCCCCTGGGTGATTTCACAAAGTCACACCTCCTGTGTGTAGGAAAGAGGGTTGAACAGGACCACCACACCGGGCTGTGTGCTTGGGGTGCTGCTCACAGGTGCCCAACAGAGGGGACAGCTGAGGCTAAAACCCACATGGTGGTCCAGGGGCTACAACTCCACCTTCTGATGCACGGGGTGCGGGTTCAATCCCTGGTCGGGGAGCTAAGATCCCACATGTCTCGCGGCCAAAAAGCCAAAACATAAAATGAGCAATATTGTAACAAATTCAATGAAGACTTTAAAAATGGTCCACACTAAAAACCAACAGGGCTTCCCTGGTGGCGCAGTGGTTGGGAGTCCGCCTGCCGATGCAGGGGACGCGGGTTCGTGCCCCAGTCCGGGAAGATCCCACATGCCGCGGAGCGGCTGGGCCCGTGAGCCATGGCCGCTGAGCCTGCGCGTCCGGAGCCTGTGCTCCGCAACGGGAGAGGCCACAACAGTGACAGGCCCGCGTACCGTAAATACATAAATAAATAAATATAAATAAATAAATAAATAAACCCCAAGCTGTGCCTACTGGGGCTGAGCCACTTGGGCAGGAGAGACAGCAGCCGAGGCCTGAGCCTGGGCCTGCTCCCTTTCAGGGTCATCTTTCCCGGAAACACCTCCTCCAGTGGGTGCCGCCTCCTGGCACACAGGCTCCAGAACTAAAGATCAACATTGGGCTGAAGAGCTGTTCAGTTTGACTTTGAAAATGCTGCCTGGACATGTACCCAAAGCTCTGGGGCAGATTCCCGGGTCTGGGGTGGTGAGAAGCTGAGTCCGTTTTGTTTGGCCTTCTGATTTGTTAAGAAGTGGTTTGGTTTGGTTTGTGTTGTATTTTGATGTGTTTTTCTGTGGGGCATTGTTCCATTAGAGGGAATTCTAGAGGTTAACATCATCCAGGTGACAGATGTCCTGATGCCCGTGCCACAGCCTGACAACCCCCTGGTGGATTTCGTCGTGAACTGCCAAGGGAGGTGAGTACATTATCTCCAAGAAAGGGGCCAAGTGAGGACCCCAGGCTGAACAAAGGTCTTCATACCCCTCTCACCTTTAAAGTTGATTTGGATTCTAGTTCCTCAGCAAGCCAGGATGAGGAAGGACCCTCCCAGGTGCTCTCAAGCATGCACTTGCTTTGCTAGAGCTGAGCAATGCTCATCACCTTTAACTGTTGAAGAATTACTGATTGAACACTTACTGTGTCCTTAACATTTTACTTCTGTTTTCATGTCAAATCCTCACACAATTGTATGAGTCTCCTCATTTACACCAGTGATAACAGTACCTCACTAGGTGGCGGGTACCTGGCAGAGTAAGGTTCCTGGGTTGAGGTCTCGCTCAGAGCCTCTTAAGCTCCCTGAGGCTCCTCCGGAGTCAGGGGAGGCAATGTGGAAGCGCTGTGTCCTTGTGCTAAATAGTAGCAATGCCTGATCATCCTGTCTTGCTTTAAAACTTACAAAGCTCTTTCTAATGCATTATATAATTTGACTTCCTAATGTTTGGTTATAACTATAGATAATAGACTGAATATAAACTAATATATAAATACTATCAAGTAAGCCATCAAATATGTGAATGACTTACTAATTTACATATAAGTAAATCAAGTAATTAAAATGTATGTGTATGTGATATATAAGTTAATCAAGAGAATGGGCTGGTATAAAAATGAGGCCTTATTTGATCAAAAAGGATAGCTCCAGGGAATTCCCTGGTGGTCCAGTGGTTACGACTCTGCTCTTCCATTGCAGGGGGCATGGGTTCAATCCCTGGTCAGGGAACTAAGGTGCTGCGGGGTGCACCCCCAAAAAAGGGGGGGATAGCGCCAAAGCTCTCTGGATTGGGGAGAGAATGGGATGAGGATGACAGAAATAGAGAAAACCCTGACTGAGGAGGCGAAGCTGCTTCAAGAGGCCAGGGGCCAGGTGAGAAGGGAACATGAACTCATCTAATTTCCCACGCCCTCATCAGGCCCAGCTTCAGAGCCTGGTCTCTCCATCCAGGAAGTCTACTCAGAAGTGAGACAGTGGCTAAGACAGTAACACATGGTAGCCGAGTGGTTACAGGGACAGCTGTCAAACCTCTTTTATTCAAGTCCCAGCTCCACCTCTAACTGCTTTTTTAACCTGGGGCCAACGATCTCCCCTCCCAGAGCTAGTTTGTCACCTGCTGCATTAGGATAATATTACTTTCCTCATCAGGTCGTTGAGAGGAATAGACAAGACTATATCACTTATCAGAAACTCAGTGCCTTGCATACAGTAGGTGCTGCATAAACAGCTCTGGTTGCTGCTGCTGCTGTCATCATATCTCTGCAGGAGCCCACGCAGGGCCGACTGGTATTTAATACTACCTTTGCCTAACACCTAAGCCGTCTGCATCTTTGGGCATCTAGAGAGCCAAAAAGGAGAGGGAAGTTCCCAGCAGTCCCTTGCCTTGGGGGACATAATTTCCTCCTCCTCCAGCACAAGGGGCTCATCTTCCTGAGGATACAAAGGAAACAATGGCTCACACCCAGGCTTGTTTAAGAGTAAATTAAGATCCCACATGCTGCGGAGCAACTGAGCCCGTGCGCCACAACTCCTGAGCCTGCACTCTAGAGCCCGTGAACCACAACGCCTGAGCCCGCACGCCTAGAGCCCATGCTCCGCATCAAGAGAAGCCACCGCAATGAGAAGCCTGCGCACCACAACGAAGAGTAGCCCCCGCTCGCCACAACGAGAAAAAGCCCGCGCACAGCAACGAAGACCCAATGCAGCCAAAAATAAATAAATAATTTTTAAAAAAAATTTTTGAAGGGTAAATTATATGTGACAATTTCATGTCATATGGTTTGAGTAAGAATAAGTAGGATTCCATTTTATAGAAATGTAGTGATTTTTCTTTCTACACTGATGTCATATTCCTCTCTCTCTCTCCGCATCATTCGTGCCCTCAGCATCCCCACAGAGGTCTGTACCGTCATCTCCGACCCCACCTGCCAGGTCACTCAGAACACAGTCTGCGACCCTGTGGACATGGATCTGGGCGACATGTGCTTGCTGACAGTGAGAAGAGCCTTTGGTGGGTCTGGGACATACTGTATGAACCTCACTCTGGGTGATGATGCAAGCCTGGCCCTCACGAGCACCCTCGTCTCTATCCCTGGAAGAGGTAAGTTTTGTTTTATGGTTGTATGAACATTTCACGTTGGAGATAAAGTGTGTGTCCAATACCAAAGCTACTCAACGCTTCACTCTTAATATTTAGTTTTATTTCCATGTAAAATTCATTGAACTGTTATTAATGTGGATTTGAGAAATGGCATTAAAAGCCAACAGCAAATCTGCTTAGGGAAGGAATGAGAGAGAGAAACCCAATGAAATAATGGCCAGAGAAAAGCCTTTTGACGAAAAAAATCAGCTGTGATCATGGACCAGTAATAATGGGATGTGGTCACTGCATGCTCAGATAGATTTGTAATTCTAGAGGAAAGTGCAAAGCCCAACATCAAAAAATAACAATGGGGCTACCCTGGTGGCACAGTGGTTGAGAGTCCGCCTGCCGATGCAGGGGACACGGGTTCGTGCCCCAGTCTGCGAAGACCCCACATGCCGCGGAGCGGCTGGGCCCGTGAGCCATGGCCGCTGAGCCTGCGCGTCTGGAGCCTGTGCTCCGCAACGGGAGAGGCCACAACAGTGAGAGGCCCGTGTACCGCAAAAAAACAAAACAAAACAAAACAAAACAAAAAAAAGTGTTCTCCAATTAAGCTACAACAAAGGGGAGGCTGGTATCATGTTGTCATTGGAATCTACCTGGGCAAAGATATGAAGCCATGAAGAGAAATGAGAAACCAGGTGGACTCCTGGTTCCCTTCTAACTTGCCATGTGCCCTCTCTTTCCCTTCCCAAATTCTACTAAGCATTACACTGAGATGGAAACAAACCAATTTGCCTAGTCCTTAAATGTTCACCAGAAACACTACTCCTTGTCCCCTTAATGCTGGGAGAGGTAAAATGTTAGCCAAGTGGTTGAAGGAATTTCATTGAGAAATTCCCATCTACTGGTGGCTGCTAATCTTCCCCAACCCATAAGGACTCTACCTGGTGACCCTAACTGAATTTCACTTATAACTGACTATGTTGTAAGATACTGCTTTACCTCTTAGAGGAAGTGCTACATGGTGGGACGGAAGGCACAGATTAAATTGTGCACACGTTACAGCACGTGTTTTGCTCCTTAGTTTGAGTATTGTTGGGTACAACCTAACAACTAACTCACAAATAACACTTTAGGTTGTGGAGTCTATCTTATAAGGTGAAATGTACTTAAACATATATTTACTCATTAACTATATAAAAGGCAGCTTTAACCTCATTGAAAGAAAAGCGTAAGTAATCATGCATATAATTATTTGCATGAGGGTTTATTGTTGGTGAGATCCAAGGTGTACGTTAAAAAAAAAAAAAAAGAAAAGAATGCAAAGGTACGCTGCTTCCTCCCAGGGAGGGTGCATGGGGTCTGGGGTGCAGAAGTGGGGAGCCGGGCGGAAAGAGGCAGCCGGAGCCTCTGTATTCGAGTGAGTGTGGGTCTTCTACAACATCACCTCCAGGAGCTACTGGGGTTGTTTTTCTTGTGCTGCTGCAGTTACTTTTAGAATCGCCTTTTAGAGTCCCAACCTATTCTGTGAAGCTTTCTCAGTTCTGGCAAACCACAGTTCTCTTACCTGGATTAGACGCTTGGATATGTGCTTCCCTTTAATCCTTCTTGTAGTGAGTGATAACTTTAGGTGTGACCTGAGCCATTTTTAAAATCCAAAAAAAGGAAGCTCAGAAAGAGAGCTTTTAATCCAATGGGAATTGTAACTTGATGACTTGGGTTTCAAAGTCAGAATCTCAAAAGTGCATCACTGTTCAAAGGCAGACGCATTGCCTGTTAGCTGAAATGACTTTTAATCATTGATTCAAGGAACATTCATGGAGCACCTGCAGTGCTTTCAACAAATATTCACTGGGCGTCCACTCCATGTCCATCACAGCTCCAGGCACCAGGTAGCCAGTTCTAGATAGAGTGGGAACAAGGTGAGGAAGGTCCCAGCTTTTGTGAGCAGAAAGAGGCAGTAAACAAATAAGATGATATTGTGAAGACAATGAAACAAGGCGTGGAGAGTGACAAGCATGGGAGAGAGGGCACAGAGGTTGGCTTTCTAGATTGGGAGGTTGGGAAAGTCCTGCCAACGCAGTGGCACCCGCTTGGTGAAGCGCCTTCTCTGAATGAGGAGAAGGGCCTCCTCCTCCACCTCTGAGACCTGCATTTCAAGAATGAGCGGCCGGGCTTCCCTGGTGGCGCAGTGGTTGAGAGTCCGCCTGCCGATGCAGGGGACACGGGTTCGTGCCCCGGTCCGGGAAGATCCCACGTGCCGCGAAGCGGCTGGGCCCGTGAGCCATGGCCGCTGGGCCTGCGCGTCCGGAGCCTGTGCTCCGCAACGGGAGAGGACACAACAGTGGGAGGCCCATGTACTGCAAAAAAAAAATAAAAAAATAATAAAAAAATGAACGAGCAGCCCATCTAGATCTTTATGCACCACAGGTAGGGTTTGGGTTTTATTCTGTGCATAAGGGGAACCACTGGCAGTGTTGAAGCATGATCTGATCAATGCTTTTAGATGATCGTTCAGACTGCTGAGTGAAGCAAGGGTTATTGGAAAGTAGCAGTGGAAGCGAGTAGACAATGAAGAGGTCCTCTCAGGGAAGAGGGCTGGTGGCCGGGACTGTGATGGCGGCAGAGAAGATGGAGAGAAAATAGACCAACTCCAGTTATACTTTGGTGGCAGAGACAAGACTAGTTGATTTGCTAGGTTCTGGGAGTACAGAGAAGACATACTCCCTGCTATATGGCTCTTACAGTCTAGTAGGAGAGAAATTTGTGTAAAGAAGTAATTGTGGGCTTCCCTGGTGACGCAGTGGTTAAGAATCCGCCTGCCAATGAAGGGGACATGGGTTCGAGCCCTGGTCTGGGAAGATCCCACACGCCACGGAGCAACTAAGCCCGTGCGCCACAACTACTGAGCCCGAGCTCTAGAGCCCGAGAGCCACAGCTACTGGAGCCCATGCACTTAGAGCCCATGCTCTGCAGCAAGAGAAGCCACCGCAATGAGCCCTCGCGCCGCAACGAAGAGTAGACCCTGCTCACCACAACTAGAGAAAGCCCACGTGCAGCAGTGAAGACCCAATGCAGCCAAAAATAAGTAAATAAAATAAATAAATTTTTTTTAAAAAAGTAATTGCAACACAGTGTGATGGAGGCAGAGGAAGAGAGACAAGGAAAGAAGTGACAAAGGAAGGCATGACCTGGTGCCCGCACGCGTGTCTGGAAGGTGTCCCAAAGGGGCAGACGCTGGAGATGAGTTGGGAGAAGGATCTTCCCGGCAGAGGGCATGGAGATTTGAAAGAGCACAGGGAGGATGGATTTTTAGCACAGCTGGAAAGAAGGCAGTGGAAGATGAGGCCAGAGGAGTGTGCAGGAGGATCATGAAGACCTTCACCACGTGTGTGCAGCTGGGTCAGCTCAGACCCCATCAGGTATCTCCAGGACGTGACATCTGTCTCCTGAGCCCGTAACACAGTGTTCCAGACACGCTAACTCATTCTCTAAATGGAAGATAAGCTGCCCCCAAAGACTATGTATTATGTAATGGGAAAGATTACTGAAAGCGCAGAGAGAGCCATATATCTTCTGTTAGCTCTCTTCCTCATTGATTTAATTGCATTACAAGCAGCATGTCCTCGAGGTGGAAGTTGTCACTAATACGGTCTTGCTTTTGTTTTAAGACCCAGACTCCCTTTTAAGAATGGCAAATGGTACCCTGGTCTTCGTTGGCTGCATGGCCATATTTATCACTGTGATCGCCCTTTTGGTGTACAAGTAAGTTGCTGGTTCTAACACTTTAAATCACTAGAGTATATTGTCAAAAATATATAGCATATTTCTGCACAAGTGGGCTGTTTTCCCTTTTTTGCTTTTAAACATTTTGTGTGTGGGAGGAAAATCTTCCACTGAATGACGAATACCAAACTAGCCTATTAATTTTGCTGTGTTTTTTTTTAATCCCTAAAAATGCTACCAAATGTCAGTAACTTTACCAAATTGTGTCATCTTAATGTTTAACATATAATCTCAAGTTATAGTAAGCAGACACATTTCTTGCATGAAGAAGAGAAAATAAATATATTTTCATAAGACATCAGTGTCTTAAAAGCCATAAATTAAATAGAATTAACCATTCTGCACTTGGCATGTAAAAGACTGTAGAAAGCAACCTTTTCCAGCTGGAGATCTTTTTTTAATCTGTCCAACACATTGCTTTCAGAAAACACAAGGAATACAAACCAATAGAAAACAGCACTGGGATCGTGGTCAGAGGCAAAGGCCTGAATGTTTTCCTCAATTGTGCAAAGATGCTCTTCCCCGGAAACCAGGAAAAAGATCCACTGCTCAAGAACCAACCGGGAATGCTTTAAATCTTCTGCCTTACTTCTGACCAACAGCTCACTCTTCAGCGCCATTTATGTCAGCTGTGCTAGAGTGGATGATGATTAACTTTTTTAAAAGATTATCGTAAAATATATATTGTGGTTTAGGGAGGTCCAATTTTTATTATAGGTTAAATGACATTTTAGAGAGGTGGAGGGGAATTAAACTACGCAAAGCCTCACCCATGTTATATTAACTGATAAAACCAGTTAGCAATTAAACTACACACAGCCTCACCCATGTTATATTAACTGATAAAACCAGTTAGCAGCACTTTCTTTAGTGATGATTTGTTTCACTTATAATGTCTTAGGTGATTAGTAGGATAGATACACTGTATCCAGAGTAGCAGACGAAGGTACTTTCGTTAGAGTCTGACCTAGGTTAACTGGAAGGAGAGGCTTGACGTGTTCTAGCTTTCCATATAACCATATCCATAAAACCAGTGTATTCCTGTTCTGAAGGTCATGTTCCAAGCTACCTGAATCCTATGTCAATGAACATGCATGAGCTCCCAACAGAACACTAACAGGTGAGCCTTTAGTAGGCTCTGCATGCTTGTTATACTAAAAAAAAAATACTAATCTAATAAATGATTGTGAATATGTTTGTGACCACCTGCCGAGCCCAAATGTACAAAGGAACGGTACTCATTCATTCATTTTTCCCATGGACATTTATGTAGCACTTTCTGTATACCAGGCATGTTGCTAAGTACATGGCCCTGTACTCAGAGTGTTGACATTCTTGTGGATATATCTGAATTTCTGGACACTCTGGCGCCACAGTTGAAAATTATAGTTGAAATTATATATTATGATTTTCCAAAAAAGGAGGCCCCTGGTTTTCCTACTGGTTTCTCTTTTCAAATGATACAGAAACTTAATCACCAAGGATTTTCCTCTCATTTGTAACTGAAGCTACTATATGTCAGTCATGACATTTTTCTTCTTCCTGGAAAATAAAGTATGAAAATTAAAAAAATAAAATAAAGCTCTTGGAATTATTTTTCTAATTTGTTGTTTGCCATTCAATTTCATTTAGAGTTTTAACACATAAAAATTTGTTTAACTCTGCCCCATGGAGCACTCATAGTTTCATAAGTATTTTGTATTTTTAAGTATATGTATACAGTATGTGAAATTGCAGTAAATTATACACACACACACACACACATATGTATATGTATATATATATGTATGTATATAATCAGGCCAGTCTAAAAGAAGAGATTTTCTACAGGCACTTCTGGACTCTTTGAACAGTCAGGATTATATTAAAAATAAAGGTTAGAGGATGGTTCTAGGTCACAGATTGGCAATCTTTTTCTGTAAAGCGTCAGGTAGTTAGTATTTTAGGCTCCATGGGCTATACGGAGTCTGTTGCAACTACTCAACTCCAATATTGTAGCACAGAAGCCATCATATACATAAATGAAAGCACATGGCTGTGTTCCAGCACAAGCATATTGACAAAAGCAGGTGGTGGGCCAGGTCTGGCCCGCAGGCCATAGCTTGCGGACCCATATTCTAGACTAAAAGAGACTAGAGAGACACAGCAACCAAGAGCAACTGAGGAATCTAGATTGCATCCTATTATTAAAGAACAGCTATGAAAGATATCCTTGAGACACCTGAGAGAAATCTGAATACACACTGGATACCAAATGATATAACAGAATTAGTGTTAATTTTCTTAAGGAGTTAGTCTAGTTCATTCACTTCGTAGATGGCCGAGACCCAAAATAAGCTCTTTATTCTGGAATCATCCCAAAGAGTACAAAATTTGCAGAACAAGAAATGTGGAATTTATCTGCATTTATGAGTTGCCTGAAGGTCAGTGGTTCTCAACCACAGGTTACTTTTGCCCTTTGGTGGGGTCCTGGCAATATTAGGAGACATTTTTGATTGTCACAACTAGGATGGGGTGCTACTGGCATCTAGTGAGTAGAGGCCAGGAATGCTGCTAAACATCCTACAATACCTAGGATGGCCCCCACAGCAAAGCACCCCATCTTACCTGACCCCCAAATGTCAGCAGCCCTCTTGTGGAGTAACTTAAGAATCTCTGGACATGGATGTAGAGAGAGAAGACTTAGATTTGAATCCAGCCCTGCCACTTAAAGCTGAATAAACCTGGGCAAGTTATTTGAACTTTCTTGAGCCTCAAGTCTCCTCATCTGTAAAATGGATTTGCAGTCCCTCCCTAACTTACTTCATAGGGCTACTGCAAGCCCCTCTGAAAGAATGAATGGATGTGAAAGCACTTTGTATAGGGCATAATGGTATATATACTACATGTGAGAAGCAGTGTGAAGGGGCTTGCCATTTTTATGATGATTAGGAGGCCAGGACATTCATACCAAAAGCAGAAAAGTAATATCAAGTTGCAGCAGAATCTTTTGTAGGTTTGTTAATCACAGGCTTCTGAGCCCAACCCCCCCAAAATTATGGGTTGAGGCCCCATAATTTCTGTGTCTCACCATTTCCCATGTGATGTTGATACGGCTGCTCCCAGACCTAACTCTGAGAAATACTGGTCTCGAGATCTACTCTTGCCTTCTCATATCAACAGGGGGTAGCAGAGAGCAGCAAATATACAGTCAGTCACCAGGGAAGTGAGTTGAAAGCCTCATGAAACCTCCCTCAGTTTCAATCTAACAAATGGCAGGAGAGAGGGCTGAAATCATGAATCATTTAGATTTATATTCTCCTTGTGACCTTGGCAACAAGTCATTTAACTTCTGCTGAATTGCTATCTGTAAAATGGGGAAAGTAACCTAAAACATAGTGGGATTACTTGATTAATGTTTGCTGAGAATTAGAACTTCCAAACAAAATTGAAATGTGCAGGTAGTAAATTATTCTGGGAATTTCTTATTCCTTGGACCCTTTATAAATGTCTACATTTTAAACACTTCTGACTCATTTATAAACATTGGTTGCCTTCGATGAATTTTCAGTTGTTTAACAGTTTAGAGGCAATACTTTGTACGCATTCATTATATCCGGAATGTGTAATAACTCCAAGCCTAAGAGACAGGTTAAGGGCAGATGAGAAGATAGTTATCCAGGGGGTGAGGGTGATCACCTTTTGATGGGGCCCCTGGTGGGTGGGAAATCCTTTAAGGTTTTTTCAGAGTGGCCCCAAAGCTGCTGGAATAGGTGCTCTAAGAATTCAGAGGCCAGTTCCCAGGAATCACCTCTTACAGGCTGATTTTGATCCTTCGACCATCATTTACTGAGCACCGGTATGTCCCAGGCTCTGGTCTGGAGGTGACACAGCCATGAACAAGAGACAAAGACTCTGCTTTCTTGGAGTTTGGGTTCCAGAGGTTTAGTGCAGTGAGAGTCTTAACCTCTGGCCTGGAGTCCCCCATCCTGGCCACCCCATTGGCCTCAGTCTAATCTGCAGAGGTGATTTCTCTGCTATTTACCATAGAATTGTCGTTCTTTGTGCCATCGAAATTCTGGAATAAAATTTGCTTTGGAGATCTTCATAGGCTTTTTGGAATTTAGGTGCCTTATTTAACCAATTTTAATTCTCTGTGTAATTTTCCCACACATGTCATCATGTCACCTCCCCAGTGAAAATTTCTCTCAAATTTACAATGCAGTTGTCACTGTTAATTGCGTTGCACAGGGTTTTTTTTGTTTTTTGTTTTGTTTTTAACATCTTTATTGGGGTATAATTGCTTTACAATGGTGTGTTAGTTTCTGCTTTATAACAAAGTGAATCAGTTATACATATACACATGTTCCCATATGTCTTCCCTCCTGCGTCTCCCTCCCTCCCACCCTCCCTATCCCACCCCTCCAGGTGGTCACAAAGCACCGAGCCGATATCCCTGTGCCATGTGGCTGCTTCCCACTAGCTATCTACCTTACGTTTGGTAGTGTATATATGTCCATGCCTCTCTCTCGCCCTGTCACAGCTCACCCTTCCCCCTCCCCATGTCCTCAAGTCCATTCTCCAGTAGGTCTGTGTCTTTATTCCCGTCTTACGCCTAGGTTCTTCATGACATTTTACGTCGCACAGGTTTTAATAATACAAATTAAATAACAAGATTTGAGCTTACTGAATCCTTAGTTTTAAGGTGTTTGTTAGAATAAATTCCTTTAGAGTGGAAAAAAAAAAAGATGAATTACTTATGAGAAGTGGCAGGAGGATTTTGCGGCTATGGGTGGAATTTTAAATTTTGCTTTTTGGAATTGAGTGGAGGGAGGGAGGTAGGCCTTAAATCAAGACCCCCGAACTGCAGCCTGGCACTGTCACTCACGAGCTACGCAGCCTGAAGTCGGGCATTTTCTCTCCCTGCACCGAAACCTCCTCCTCTGTAAAACGAGGGAAGGAAGAGGAGAGGGAGACTAACCTGGATGAATGCTGGCGTCTCCTTGGGTTCTCGCGCTCCACTGTGCAAAGTGGGAGAGGGATATTAGCCAGTTGCCTTACAGTGATGTCAGGAGGATGTGTTCTAAAGCAGTACGAGCTGGCACACTACTGTTTATGGGCCAGATCTGCCTCTCTGCCCGTTTCTCCATGGCTCGCAAGCTAAATTAGGTTTTTATGTCTTTTAATGTTTGGGGGAGAAAAGAATATGATTTTGTGCCACATAAAAGTTCTATGAAGTTCGACCTCTGTAAATGAAGTTTTATTGGAGCATAGCCACACTCATCCGTTTATGTATTGTCGGCAATGCTTTTGCACTCCAACAACAGCGATGAGTAGTCGGGACAGGGACAGTACGGTCTACGCGGCCTAAAATATGTACTATTTAGTCCTTGATTGAAAAAGTTTGCTCATCTGTGTTTTGACACTGTTGAACGCCATTCCGAACTGAATGGAGAAAAACAAGAATTCTTCAGAGAATTTCAGTTCCATGAAATGCAATTTTCTTAACTGAGCACGTTGAGCTCTTACCCACAATCTCACGTCAAATTATTCTGTAATGACAACAAACGATGTATTATCGGACACAGTGAGTAAA